TACACGGACCCGTGGATTGTTCGTTTTCTTCCTATGTTCTGGCACATCAGGACACCAGGGAACTAGTTTAACTTGTTGAAATAGGGTATAATACGTCTCCTTTTGATTTTTAATTTCTTCTTTCGCGTGTTTTCTCAGGCGTTCCTGCCTCTGCTGCAGACCGCTGCTGCTAAATCCACCGGGATGGGGATCCACAGAGCCGCTGTCATCAACGTTTCCTCCGTCCTCGGCTCCATCGAGTTAAACACCGGAGACTTCAAGAGTTACGCATATCGCACCTCCAAGGTCAGAACAGGCGGAAATAACGATCGGCGCGTCGCCGTTTTTTGGGATTTCGGTCCATTTCTTCGTGCGTTCGCCCTCAGATTGATGTGTGATTGGAAACAGGCGGCGCTGAACATGGTGACCAGGTGTTTGGCGGCAGATCTGAGCTCAGACGGGATCCTCTGTGTGTCTCTGCACCCGGGCTGGGTCAAGACCGACATGGGGGGCCCTCGTGTAAGTATCCCAGATATTACGCATTTTAGCATAGTATGCTATCACATGATCTATGTAAATTACCCAGAGGAACGGAGGTAATGGTCTGAGTCGTTTACTGACCGTTGGCCGTTTCCATCTAAAGAATCGGGTTACCAGGGTTTGGTTTGTACAAGGCCGGTCCCGATCCGATATCTGGATCGGATCGGCCGCCGATATATTCATAAAAAACTGCATATTGGCTGGCAGGAGAAAATGCAGATCCAGACTCCAGATCCAGTTTTTTTTTTTTTTAAGTCCGATCGCACATTAGCATTAGCATTAGCATCTCCTAACCCACAGGTCTGTGTCCTAACCATTAAGTTGTTATCAGAGTAAATCCCTGTTCAACATGAGTCTGACAACTAAGGAAGTAGATAAATAACTTTAAACTTTAACACATGCTCTGATAGGCCGGGATCGGGATCGGAAGGGAAAAAAGCTGGATCAGGACATCCCTAGTTTGTACACTCATTTTGAACGTATTTAAACTCAAAATGAAGTTCGACAGAAAATCAACTAAAAAGATGAGTTCGATTTGCCTGATTTGGACTGGGCCTTTTTGATGTACACTGGATAAGTGTTTTTTTTTATAAACCTGTGACCTCCATCAGCTCTCTTTGGAGAAGCTGCAATACTTTTGTTTTCAAAAATAGGCTCAAGACCATTTTAGTTTAGCTTTTAACTTATTTTGTTTATTTCATGTTATTTGCTTTAGATGAGTAAAAAATCTCAGACATGTGAGAGTGAAGTCTAGTTGTGTTCCCCCTCCGGGGATCAGCCGGACTTGGATGACTGAGAATGTTTATTTACTTTATTATTTATTCCATTTATTTATTACTTATGTTTTATTTGTCTTTGTTTCTGTGTGTTCAGGCGAGCCTGACGGTGGAGGAGAGTGTTTCCGGGATGCTGTCGGTCATTTCTGGTCTCACAGAGCGAGACCACGGAGGATTCAAGGACTACCGTGGACAAAACCTGCCCTGGTGAAGGCTGTGCTGGGGACTGGACGTTATCGCTCCTATAAACTATACAGAAAGCTCAAAGGTGCTGGTGGGAAAACAACAAGATGCTGGAACTGTTGGAGCACAAGACAACAAAAAAAAAGAAAATTATTTTCAAGGGAAGTCATTTTGTTACGCGCCTTTCCAAGAGAAAATTTTCGGTTTGGATGATTTTCACAAGCTCTACCATCCTCATGTTAATGTTCAAAAACAAATTTGATTAACTTCAAACTGTTCTGGAATATCATGAGATATGTCTATTTTTTTTTCTTTTGCGTTGATCATGTGTTGCTGATACAGATTAAATGAATGTATATCTTTAAACAGGCTTTCCTTTTGGTTCTTTTTGCCCATCTTTCTTGCATGGACCTGTGCATTTGGAGTCCAAAAAGAGCTAAAGACAACTTGGACATGTTGAAAGGCCCTCCTTTCAACATGTGACCTCCAAGTCAGATTTTTAGGCTTTTTAGACTGAAATTAAATGTACAAAATTCAAACGTGATTGTACAACCCCAGAACCTGTTATTCCCACCTAGCATTAACTCTGAATGTGCAGATATTATTGTCCTGGATCTACTGGAGGCTTCTGGAGGCCAGCCCAGAAGACAGCTCACATATGTAAAATTGTTCTCTTCATAGAACGTTGAATTCATTATTCTAAGTTTAAGGTATATTTCTGTTCTTATTTGTTTGTTTATTAGTAAACGTTGAGTTAAACATATTTAGCCAGTAATCTAGGCTTCCGTAGCGTTGGCAGGAAGTTCATGTTGTCATGGAAACACATATGTGAAAGTGTTCTCATTTATAGAAAGCATAGAACGTTGAATTTATTATTCTAAGTTTAAGACATATTTATGTTCTTATTTCTTTGTTTATTAGTAAACGTTGAGTTAGACATATTTTTCCACTTATCTAGGCTTCCGTAGTGTTGGCAGGAAGTTCATGTTGTCATGGAAACACATGTAAAATAAAGTAGCAATGGCGGAGCTATAAGGTTGTTTTAGCGTTGCAAACAAGCCGTCGAAACGAGTTAAAACAAGTTTCCTGTTCGTTATTTCCCAATGCAAGAACGAAAGAAGGTAAAATGGAAAATGAATGTTGTGATAAAAGACAACAGAAGTCCTGGTTACTGACATCCATCAGCAGGTCTTCACCGACCTTCAGTGGATACAAAGTTTTATTCAAACAAGAACATGGTCCATTTACACTTATACTGGGGGAACAGAGACTATAATGGGACATTTAGGGCCGCGGGGGACCAGACTCTGGAGACGGATTAAGGATTGGCCAGTTCGTCTGATGTGACGGAAGGAGGCAGGCTGTCCAGGGCTCCCATCTCTGTAAACACACACACACACACACACACACACACACACACACACACACACATCCCCACAACAAACAGCACGTATGAATATCATATTGTAACAGAATATTTTATACAATTATTTTATTGGTATTTGTTTTCTATATATTTGTATTTGTTTTCTATA